CCAGACCTAGGTGAACTTAGCCCTACTAGGATGAGCATTCAGCTAGCTGATCGTTCCGTTGTGCATCCTAGGGGTATCATAGAGGATCTGCTTGTTAATGTGGGTGCATTCACATATCCTGTTGACTTTGTTATTCTGGATATAAATGAGGATGTAGATGTGCCTTTGATTCTAGGTAGACCATTTCTTGCCACCGCCAAGACACTTATTGATGTGCATGATGGTAAACTGATCCTGCGTGCAGGAAATGAACAAGCTACCTTTTCTGTGACTGAATTCGATCACTGTGCTATGATTGCTGTCACACCTGTGCATGCTATTTCTGACCGGGTACACGAGCCTGCCGTGTATCCTTCTGCATCTCCTATTTTGCAGGACCCTCCTCTCACTCCTGCGCCGCCACTCCATCCAGCCTCGCCTCCGAACAAAAAGATCAAGGGGGAGTGGTGCCCGAAGCCGCCGGTTGCCAAACCTGCACGGAAGAAAGGTGGAGACCACTATGAGCTGGTCCCACCTCCTGCATCACGATCACCATGCGTACTCACTTGCCTGCATTCTGCCGGATGGCCAGGTCGAGCTAACCAATGCTGGTGGTTGCACCCGTCGGGTGCACGGTCACCACCTGAAGCTGTACCTCAAGAGTGACGTGGATCCGCTCTTGGAGGCACCTGTTCTCGCGGACCCTTAGTTCCGCCATGGGCGTCCAGCTAAAAGACGGTAAAGAAGCGCTTGTGGGGAGGCAACCCCACCACGGTTTTCATTTATTTCTTTTGTTTTGGGTCAGAATGCCAATAGCTTTGGCTTTGGTTTGTTTTCTTTTATTTTGGATGATGTAATATTGGGCTGACCATTGGACCTGACGTATTGTGTTGGAGTTCTCATGTTTCTTTTAGTTGTGCCTGTATACCTGACTGGTCCTCTCTCCAGTCCGCTTCATTTCGACTGGTCCTTTCCAGTCTCCTGCAGTCCGTGCACACCGGTAACATCGTTCCCCTTTCCTTCCCTCTTCTCCATTGAGGGCAATGTCGATCTTAAGTGTGGGGGGGGGGGGATGTTTATCTTTTGACTGCATTAGATCTGTTTGTGTGCTTGGAGCCTAGTCCACTGTCCAAATTTTTAAATTTGAGGGCTCCAAGTACGTGTTCCTTGCAATTGCCTGCTCAGTATGCTTTGAATTGACAGTCTCTGTAGTAATGTGCAACCTAGGGAGGTAGTGTAGCACTATGGAGGATGTTGATGCATTTAAGAAGTCTCATTTCTTCTTCATATTGTGTTGGTTGGTTGAGTGAATTAGTAATCTTAGGACCCTTGAATTGTGTGGTGTTGTGGACTCTCTACCTGTCATGGACTCTTGTATCATGTTTTGGAAATAACAGGTGCTCGAAAATGTGCTTTAAAATAACGTCTCCCGTGCGAATAGGGCAAAAGTGTGTAAGGGGAGAAGGGAATCCGTTCCCAATTTCCACCTACTACCTCCAGTCCCCTTACATATCTTTCCCCTGCACGAGGCTCGAGACATTCGCTCCCGGCATGGCCGGTAAGAGCCGGGTTCCCGCAAAACCTTTGCTAGGTGGGAGCCCCGTTTTCTGAAAAATAGGTTGGAACCCTTGAAAAAAGAAAGAAAAAAAAAGAAAAACTGAAAAACAAGCAAAAAGAAGAAAGAAAAGGGGTTCCAACCATCTTCAAGAAGAAAATCGAGCACCTTAAAAAAATGTGAGTCAATGATCTTTTGTTTTTGAGAGTCTCTTCATCCACGATTCATTTGCCCTCTGTTCACTATTTACAATGATGCCGACTCGAGACTAGCGTTCTCGCCGAAGAAGCTATGAGATGACTTGTGCGTCGGTTGACCTCGTAAGCTGCTAAATGATCTAGGAAGTCCTCTACCTACGATCGAGGTTGTTTGTTGCTATAGAGGTCTGGAGAGTTGCATTGGTTTGAGTTAGGTTTGCTTGGGGACAAGCAAACGGTTAAGCGTGGGGGAGTTTGATAGACCGATAATTACACAGGTTTTTCACCACTATTCTGAAGCCGTTTGGGATGTGGATTCTAGTGTTTTAAGCCGATTTCACGCTAGGTGTGTGTTTATGTCATATTTCAGGACCCGACGTTGGAATCGAGGCGGAGAAACGAGTTCTGGGTCAAAAGGAGCAAAGTTGGGACGAAGTGGGCTGCAGGAAGAAAATACCCGGTCATGGGGCTAAATACCCGACCGGGTATTTATCACTTTGGGCGCCCCCGAGAATCAGAGAGGGACCCGGGCGTGAAGGCAAAATCCCCGATCGGGGATTATTGAGGCAGACCGGGGATTTTTCCTCTTCTGATACGCGCGTTTTGAATAATACCCAGTCGATACCCAAAATACCCGACCGGGTATTTCGACCGGGTATCGCGATCAGGCAGCAGATTTAAGGGAAAGGAAGGCCAACATTCAACGGTTCCGAGTTTTAGAGAGATAGAGTGATTTCTAAAGAGAGAAAGCGACGAACCAGAGTTCCCAAGTGCCATAGCTTGATCTTCATCACCATTGGAGCCCGGCTTGAGCTTGGAGAAGTGCCGATTAACGTCCAGGAGCAGAAATCCATCTTCACAGTATGATTTCCGCGTCTGAATCTGCTTTTGCTTCGTTCTCTATGGAGTAGTTTCCCCATTCATCTGGGTATGGAGAACCTTAGAGTTGTATGCTAGGTCTGATTGTATGGACCCAAGTACAGAGTTTATGAATTGATTATATTCGATTGAGGTTTGAATGATTGAATGACTTGAATCCTGATCAAATTCCTGTTGTTTCTGCTTTGACCTATAATGAGAATATCTGCCTAGGTTGATAGAGTATCCTTAATTGAAGGTAGTGAATTGGTGACTTTAGTCGAGAAGCCAATTCGCTATTCTGTACCGAATTCAATTCGGTAGTGGAGGTTTGGTTCGTTAGGGCCTCAATCTGTTTACTCCGGTGGAGGTTAGTCTCCCGCTAGAGACTAAGATTGAGAGGGTCTGGAGACCTTTAGTCGAGACTTCAGACTGTTTAAGAACCTTCCACAGTATAACTTTCATGAAAACTGAACTTGGTAAATTGCAATCCAGCTTAACTGCAGTCTAGGGGGAACCATATCCGGGTGACCTCTCTTGACTTGAAAACAACCGTTTAACTTGCTTTGCGTTTTTGTTTGTTTGAATCTGCACTTAAAGTTCACTGCTAGATAACGAGAATTCACCGAGTAGTCATCAAATCTAGGACCCGGGTTGACATTAAAACCAAAACCCGCTATACTACGCTTTAGGAAGTGGTTACACTTGGCCATTTTCTAGAGTGACAGTAGGAGTGAGTCAGTAAAATTATAAAAGTTTAGGTACTATAGTGCGAGGCAAAACGTATAAAGGTACCAAAATATAATTTTATCACCAAAATTTTCGTACATTTTTGTAAAATTTCAAAAGTTTAGGTATCATATTGTAAGAAAAAGTAAAGTTGGGTACCAGAATGTAATATACCAAAATTGTAGTAAGTGACCATAAAAATTCAAAATCTAAATCTAAAATACCATCAAATTGCAAATGAGTATCCAAACAATGAATTTAAATTACATGTATTTCAAATACATTACACTTGAAATACACCTATCCAAACGCACCATAAGATCAATTCCGCTCTTTCTTTCGTATCAATATGAAATCGAGATTACTTGGGAAAATGAATCACTTTTCTCTTTATATTTGTGAACTCAAATGTTAAAATAACTATCTACCGATATTAACTCGAATAGACATCTTTCGACTGGTTTTAGTTACTTACTTACTCAATTTATAATACTCATTAGGAGCATTTCACGGTAATCGCCGATTGTCACTACTGCTTTGAATCAACTCCGAACAAAGTATGTCAATGCACTCCATTATAAAATAAAATAAAAAAGTATGGCAATGTACTCGGGAAATCATACGATAGTTAACCCAAGTACAAGCAAAATTGATCAAATACTCGTGAAATTAGATGATCAGCTTACCTAGGTGCAAACAGTAGGGCATGAAGCCTTGGGAAAAGAGAGGCCAGAGTCCAAGATGAAAGTAAGAAGGGAAGGCGTAGCATGCACGGGAAGGAGGGCATAGATATAACACATTAACACCGACATTAGCACACTTCCATTTTTCATTATCCTTTCTTCCTACACAGACAGAGTACAAATGGAATCAAACGGGAAGCATCGATCTACAACAACATTGAGTCGTTGTTGAAGTTTGCAAAACGGCAGCAGCAGCAGCATTGAAGTTCGTTGTATCATGGCTTATTTGCTTATCAAATATCAATGGTCTCTCTTTCCTCGTTCCAATAATGCCGTGCCGTGCCTTGTACGGCCCAACCCAGGGTGCTTTCTATGGACTTTAGACTCTGATTCTCCCGCCATTCGAGGAAACAGATTTCAGCACTGGAAAGTAGAATTCAATCCGCCCGAGAAGCCCAACACCCAATCAAACCACATTGCAGTTCGTGAGCGACCACACTGAGACGATTAGTCGCTGGCTCGCTGCGCGCCATCCACGGTAACTTTTAAAATGAAGAAGGGGCAAAATTGTCCGATTTTTTGTAACTACGGGTGGTAAATAGTAAAAGCACGGGCGGCAAATAGCGATTCATAATAATAAACATCCTAGTAATTAGCGGTTGAGGGACTTGCACGAGAAATAATTTATACAGCCTAAGTCTGTTTGTCTATTAGTCTATGTGGTCTCAACTTGTGACATGGGTGGTATATTACTTGAAGAAGTCAGATTGTTCTAGGGGTCGTTCTTGACTATTAGCTTCCGTTTTGCTCCTAGGCATTTTAATAGGACTGATCATTTAGTGACAAAACTTACCCTTTCATCGATGGTTCGACGTTAGGCGGACTGCTGCATTTTGCTTATTCCAATGTTTGTATTTATGCCTGCCTTTTTACATCTATCTATGATAAATAAATAAAAATAGGACCTCATCGATGGTTCAACGTTAGGCCGAAAACAACTGCAAATCCTACATTGAACGCATGCTTTCGCTCTTAAACACGACAATCGAAATCGAACTGTTCCTGGGAAAAGGGCTAGAAAAAAACTGATGCGGGTTAGAATTTTAGAATCAATGACTGCTTGAATTGCTCTACTTTACTTTACAAAAACTAAGTTGAAATGTTGCTAGCTAGCTAACTCCGTCACTATTCTACATGTGATGAAATGGCAGAACACTCGAGCTTCCACCGAAGAAGCTAACTTGCTTGTATAAACTACATTCAACAATTCGAGTTATTGGAATTCAGCCCTCATCATAGATCATCGTGTGAGCATAGAATGTGAGGTGTATACAAATGGATTGAGGGTGCTTTCTTTCCAGTATTTGAACAAGCAATGGCGTTAAATACTTACATTTTCTGTTTCAGGCATCAAGAAGTGGGGTTAGAAGAGAAGAGCCGCCTTTGTTTAGGAGTCAGATTCATTGCCCATCTACAGAAAATCCAAGCCGAACCAACTATTGCTGTCACCGAGAGCAAGGTCAGCGTGCCATAATGGGAAGCGTTGTTCGCTACTATTGCTACTCCAAGCATTAACGACTCTACCAAGCTCGCGACCGATGCCTCAGTTATCCCTATCAGGTTTGCTTTCGATGATGGGATCCCTGTATGGAGAATTTGTGTCCCTGCGACTACAATCAACATGTATCCCAACCTTGATAGTGTCTGGAAACATACAACTTGGTTCAATCTTCAAGGGATGATATTTAGGTTCTGTTGAAACAATATCCCTAGTTCTGCCACTAACTCGAATATGTCAGGTTAGATGCAATGACTGAACTGAAAAGCTGAGCAATATGCAAACTAAATAGATTTATTATGCAACAGACATTCCATCTCATATGGTGTTAGCTTATTTGAGTCAACATGTAAAATAGGATAGCTATGTCACTAAAATTGCATGATCAGCACCCTACGCTACACATCCATCGATCCAACCCTTTTCACCGCAGCCACGCAAAACAGATTCCCAACCAACATACAGACCATGACCTGAGATCCAACTCAATCTTGACACTTGCAATTTTGTAATGAAACAGTTACTCGGTCAAATCTGGGATCAATTCCGTTGACACAACGTGTCAAATAGGCTCACTATGCCACCAAAACTGTCTGCTCAGAACCTCATTCACACACTTGACCAGACCTTTAGCCACACATACAAACCGACTCACATGTGGGAGCAAAAACACGAACTCAAGATCCAAATGACTCTGGACTTGGGAAGGGTTTAGTTTAAAGAGCATATGGGGTGGTGATTGGGTGATTTTGGTGACAAGGTGAATCTACTTGGCATGCCAACTCACATGAACAGATGCAAGCATAGACGGAATACAACAAGATGAAGGTTTTGTTCCCAATTCACTAAGTTCGGGTAGCATTTTGCTAGAATTGTTAGTTCGGGGACCATTTTGTCACAAACCCATACTTCAGAGACCATTTAGACATTTGACACCCAATAAACTACTACAAACATATGGTTGGAAGAACTCACAATTAAGCCCAAGAAGAAAATGATAGGACTCTGGTGGGAGAGAGATCCACTCCAATAAACTGTAACAACCATGAGAAGGAATGAAGCCTGGAATATGAATCCAAAAGCTACAGCCTGGGGACAAAAGCAGTGCGAAAGTAAGGTTAGAACTCAATACTAGTCTTTGAACATTACATGTTCTTGTTAACCAAGTCTGGAGAGCAGGAAGATTGCTTTACCTTTACAATGCCTAGTCGCTTGACAAAATTGGCTGCAAGGAATGTTGCTACAAGCCCCATGGCTGCACAGAGTCCAGTGAAACCCCCAATTGTCGAAGGACTCACTCCTGTTGAGTGCATCAAGGTCGCTTTATCAGTAGCGATAGTGAAATCGCAATAATCATAGAAGCTTTAAGAGTTGAAAAAGCTGAGGCATACCTCTCTGAGTAAAAAAAAAACCGTCATCAAACAAGTAGGACCAAGTACGACATTAAAAAACAGTAGCACATACGCAATGCTAACAGGGAGAACTGGCTGCTGAATATATTCCTTCCAGCTAAGCTTGATGATTTCCAAACATTTATCCACTGTTTCCAAACAGAGGATGCTTTATCAAACAATGGATCATTTAGCCAGATAAAAAAATGTGTGATGCAAGTCATACTTACCTATATGGTGATTATTGATGGAGTCTCTGACAAAAGATTGCGAAGATCTAGTATTGTCAAGAACCCCACTTCATAACTTGTTTGTTAAATATGCGAGCCCGATCTGAGAATAGCATCAACAATTATCAAACTAATTATACCACTGGACTCGAGAATTGATCCAGGAATTTGATAAAAGTTAATTAGTACCATCACTAGCAGTGAACCGATCATCAAAGTATAAGAAAATTTCAGGCACGTCACTGGACCATACTTGGAAAGAAGAACCCCAAACATTGACGCGCCAGCTATCTGCAAATGCCCACTTCAAATTAAGCTATCAACCTTCATCCAAAACCCACATGCTACAAATCTAGGGAATACCTCTGCAAGCATGTCGATCCTACTAAGAACAGCATTTGCTTGTGCAAGTGCAATGGGCTTACTTATCCCAGCTAGCTGCTCACAGGAGGAAATTGATTGATATTGTGAGCTATCTGCTATGACAAAGATGGCAGGAAAATAGGTATAGTGGAGCAGAAAATTTGAAAATAGCGACTAACATGCACAACCCAATCTCGTTCATTAGCAATTCCCAATGGTACCCCACATAGCTTTTCAATACTTCCAGCCAAAACCAGCACAACAAACCATGGACCGAGAACAACAGAAGACGAGGAAGTTGTAGCCACTGTGTGATCATGAATTATCATCATAGCAGACAGTACCGGAGCAGCTGCCTGAAGGAAACCGAAAAATGACCTCTTTGGATCTGAACTTGGAAGCCAACATTTCAAACAAAGCATTGAATAATGAAAGTTTACCTGGATCACATTCAGACTAATATATGCAGGTACTCTGGGATAATAGTCCAAAAAATTTCCAAGCAGAGGACCCCCAACAAGTAAAGTCGACTGTTTATGGAGAAAAATTAGTTAGAAAGCATCGCCAACAACATGGTTCGGAATAAGTGCGATCATTCAATTGCATTCAAAGTGTAAGAACCTTAGCAAAGAAACCCATGACCGCCACTGGTAGAAGGCTCGGAAAAAGCAGAGCGATAGTAGAAGGCCAAGTAAACTCCCATAACCGTTCCACAACGTTCCCAGTTACTACATTGGCATAAAATGCTGGAGACAAAACAACCACATCTTAAAAACCCACTAGATGAGTTTAGAATTCTTCAAAAGATAACCCTTATATTCAGTTCCTCTGAAGACCACCGAATAACATAATTTCTAGGCAAGATTTAGTAGCTTCTACAAGTATAAGAAGGCAAGCACTTCATCGTAAAGGACTTAAAAACTTCCAGATTCTACCCCTGATTTTCAAATAAATTGTTTTATATTTGATGTTGGTACGAAAACCATATATTTCAGACCTTTATAACTCCACAGTACATGATATCTTCTGTTAAGAAACAACTATGGGTTCCTCCAAAGATAGCAATACATCAAACTTCTGTTCTGAGTACCGTATAATCCAGCCGGATGAGCCGGGGTGGCTGCTAGAGCATTCTGCTCTTCCTCGGATAAAACCTAAGAGTTCATTGAAAGCATTAGCAATAAATGATGATGTAGCACTCAACAATGACAGTCAACTTGGCACATGAGCATAAATGAAGATAAGATAGCAACATACAGGCTATGCCAACGAAAGTCCATCCGCATCAGTTGTTTCCACCAACAATCCAAAGCTTGGAGTCTCGAGAATCTCAGTATTGTGCTGTACAACTGGGGCCAAGAAATCTCCCTTAATCAAAGAACCCTCGCTGGGGAAGAACTCATCATCAGCCACGGCATGGTTGAACTGGACATCAGAATTCACATTCGAACACCTAGAATGAAACTTCCTAATCCTGGAAATCAAATTTCAGCTTCTACAATCAATTCAATCCCTAATTTGAACTCGGTAAGAAAAAAAACATGGGTATTTTTAAACTAAAAACTACCAATTAATTACCTGCACGAAGAAGGAGAAGGGAAACTAGGAGTCAGCCAACGGCGAGCATCGATGCGATAGCGAATTCGATGTGGCAGCAATGACACAACCGCCGCACCGTTGGCTGCAGAGACGAGGCGGACATTGGGGGCGAGTGATTCCGAGAGAGCGAATTGGACCATAGACAAACCAAGAAGAGCTGGAGCTCCTTCAACCTCAGCAAATACGCCAGGCAGCCGCACTTGAAAGAATAACTGTAGTGACAGAGGTCCTGCCAACTCATGCAGCCGGAGGGAAATTGGAAACGGTAACCTTATCCTCTTCAACAGCAGAGCTCATGTGCAGAGGACGAAATTCGAATGCTGGAGCGAGGGAGGAAGGGTTCGGAGCTCTTCAATAACCGGAGGACAGAAATGGTTGCGACAGCAACGGTGGGAGCCATTAAATGAAGGGAGAGTGGGCCTATGGCCGTCGGCAAACAATCCCAAGTCTACCGGAGAAAGACGTTCGAAATTCTCCGTCCCTTCAATGGCTATTAGACTTCGGGATTTGGGTGCAGTCTTTTTATAAGTCGCGGACAGGTTGTACAATTTTCTTTATTTTTGTATTTTTCTTTCTTCCCTCATTTTTGTGGATAACGTGTCGGATAGGATAGGTCTAAATTTGTTTTGGCAAAAATGTAGGTTTGATCTTAGAAGTTCTTGGATTCGAATTTTAGTAGTCACCACTTTTGTGATACTCATGTGGTGAATGTCAAATTCTAGCTTATACGAAAAGAGAACACAAGAACTTTTTTAACATGGTACCGCCAATGCGGCACTAGTCCACGGAGCGATCTCCCTCTCAGGTTTTTGTATATTTTGACTGCTTAACCTTTGCTATACAGAACTCGACAGTTTATATAGGTTAGCTTCATAGCCCTAACGACACACTATAATGGCTATTTACATAAAGACCCTCATATAATTAACACCATCCCTAAAATTGATGTTGGGTTCTCAACATCAATTTGGAACATAAATACCAGTGCCTGCTCGAGGATACGGCCTTGGTTAACACATCTGCAGTTTGTTCATCTGTCATGAGATACCGAAGCTGAATAGTTCCTGCACTAACTAGTTGTCTGATGTAGTGAACATGTACTTCGATGTGTTTAGTGCGATCATGCAGAATTGGATTCACTGCTATCTGGAATGTACTTGTATTATCTCCATTGATCACCATCGGCCGACTGCAATCCACTCCTAGTTCAGTAAACAAATGATGCAACCAAACCACTTCAAAAATGACCTCTGACATTGATCTGTACTCTGCTTCTGTTGATGATTTTGAGACTTTGCTCGGCTTCCTGCATCTCCATGATATGAATGACGCTCCAAAGAAAACACACCAACCAGAAGTAGAGCGTCTAGTATCCAAACATCCGGCATAATCTGCACCAGCAAATGCCTCAATCTTAGCCTCACCTCCTGCATGAAAGAACAAACCAACGTCACGTGTATTCTGCAGGTATCGGAGTATCCGATGTAAAGCGTCCAAATGAGTTGTTCTTGCCACCCCTAAGAACTGACTTACAACCTGTACACCATAATATATGTCTGGTCGAGTGTGAGTGAGATAAATGAGACTTCCCACCACACTTCGATAGAATGACTGGTCTTCTAAGAGATCACCACTCTCCTTACTTTGCTTCAAATTTTGCTCAATTGGTATGGAACATGGCTTGCAATCCTCGAACTGCGTTGCCGTTAACAAGTCGGATATATACTTCTTCTGACATATGAATAGTCCACGTGAATATCTATGAACCTCCAGCCCAAGGAAGTAAGATATCTCTCCTAACTCCTTCAGGTTGAATGCCTTGCGAAGAGAGCTTGTCAAGTCCTTAATGTCGTCCAAAACATCCCCTGTAATGATCATGTCGTCAACATACAACAACAACACGACAATCCCGTCAACAGTCCGGCGAATGAATAGTGATGGATCACTATCACTTTGCCGGAAACTAGTCTGCACGATTGTGTTGTGGAATTTTTCAAACCACGCCCTGGGAGCTTGTTTCAGACTATATAAGGAACGTACCAACTTGCATACCATATTCGAACCCGCTTTCTCATACCCCGGTGGTGGCTCCATGTAGTTCGTTTCCTTCAAGTCCTCGTGAAGAAACGCGTTCTTCACATCTAGCTGTACTAATGGCCAATTCTTCATTGCTGCTAATGCGAAGATACTGCGAACTGTCACATCTTTGCTACAGGAGCAAATGTTTCATTATAGTCTATTCCAAACTACTGTCGAAAACCTTGAGCCACCACTCTCGCTTTGCATCTTTCTAATGTGTCATCTGGTCTTATCTTCACTGTATATACTCGCTTTGATCCTATGAATGACATTTCAGGTTACCGGGGAACAAGATCCCAACTGTGGTTTCCTCCGAGGTATCTGTCTAAGCTTTCATTGCCGCATCCCATTTATGATCCCCTTTCGTGAAGTGATGGTGAGAAGGAATTGAAATACCTTCCGCTGAATAACCCACATAGTCTAACAATCTGAGTGGCGGTGCCCCCTTGTTCACTCGGTCGGATTGGCGAGGCAATGGCAGTGGACTGGCCGCTAGAAGTTCCATTTCGTGTCCATCAGCCGAGGAATCACTACTGCTGGCGACAGAGAAGGACGTGGATGGACCAGAAGTATTCGCATTTGTGCTAGGTGATGACAAGCCTGACGGTGTCGAGCTGGGTTGTGCCGAAGAAGAAGAAGTTGACGAGCTCAAGCCCGTGTGAATGGATGGAGTATGAGGAGGGGAAGTTTCATCAATAGTAGTCTCACTTCCCTCCGGTCCTCCCCCTACCGGCGACACCCCAAGATCAGCGGCCAGCGAGTCGGGAAAGAGAAGAGAGTGAGGTCGAAGGAAGTCCAACAATTCCCTGGGCCCATCTTTCACCATGGCATAGTGCATGACCTATTCAAGAAAAACAACGTGATAGGCAGTACGCAAATGACGTTGAATCAGGTCATAACATAAATACCCTTTGTGGATGTCGCTATAGCCCATAAACATGCATCTAGCAATCTTCAGGGCGAGTTTATAACGATCTTTCTTGGGGAGGAGCAGGAAGCAAAGACAACTGAAGACCTTGAAAGAATAGTCCGGAGCACGATGGTAGAGCTGTTGAAACGGAGAAGTATTTCCAGGAACCGAGGAGACCTGTCGATTGATCAAATAGACAACTGTGCAGATGGCTTCAACCCAAAAACCAGCGGGCACCTGGGAGTGGAACAAGAGAGCACGAGTGAGGTCGAGCACATGAAGGTGCTTGCGCTCAACCAAACCATTTTTTTGCGACACGCCGGGACAAGATTGCTGAACGAGAATACCATGGGAAGTATAGAACTCGGCCAATGGTTTGGAGCAGAACTCACCACCCGGGTTGGAGCGGATTATCTTCACCGTCATCTGAAATTGGGTATGGATAATGGCGAAGAAAGCTTTAGCATGAATGACGAGCTCCGATTTCTCATGGAGAAAGTAGACCCACGTATACCGCGTAGTGTGATCAACAAAAAGAGCGAAATATTGAAACCCGAGACGCGAGGTAACAGGAGACGGCCCCCATAAATCAATATGAATAAGCTCAAACAGGGCCTCATATATCGTGTCACTGGAAGAGAAAGATAATTGAGACGCTTTGGCCTCAATACAGCTCACACATGGATTGGGTTTACCATAATCAGAATGTCGGTTATCCGATCAATACTTAGTACGAAACATGTTCAACAATCTTGTCGAATGAGGGTGACCCAAACGGCGATGCCATAAATCCCAGACCGAGGAATGAACAAAAAAATCCACAGACCCTGGCTTGACAGAATATCCCAAAAACAATTCGAAGTCTGAATATTTCCAGAACCAGCATTATTAAAAGAACCCAAACTACCCTGATTACAAGAGGAAGAACCAAATGTCGAGCCGAACCACCCAATGGATCCACCAAACCACCTGCTGCTGTCTTCGTCCCAAGCTTGCCAGCATCACCACGAAAATCATCAAGGAGAAAGACCCGCCCACTTTTATGACCCTGCCCGATCACCGTCCCTGTTGTCCGATCCTGCATAGTACAACCATCAGCATTAAACACAACTGTACAGTTGTTATTGGCTAGCTGACCAGCCGACACAAGATTCGGGACTAGAGCTGGAACATAGAGAGCATCAGACAATTTCACTGAACTATCATCAATCATCCCCTTGCCCTGTACCGGGATGCGCCTCTTGAAGAGCTTCCTGGACTAAACGATGAATAGCATCGAAAGAGAGACTAGTAGTGACAGTCGGAGAAGGCGAAGATGAGAGACCAGGAGCTGGAGCATGCTCAACGACAGCATAGCTCGAGTGAGACGAGCTGGAGCACACACCAGCGCTAGACGGATGCGGATGTAGCTTGCCGCGTTTTGCCAATGTTTTGCACTTCAATATGATGTGACCATATCGCTTACAGTAGATGCATACATTATTCTTCTTGCAATGCGGTTGAATGTGTCCCAGTTCATGGCAATAATGGTAGGCAAGATTACTTGTACCCTGCCCTTGAAATTGGGGCTTCCCAGAGCCACCCCTCCCGACAGCAAATGATGTCTCACCAACAGAGAGCTGGCCATCAATTTGGGATTGGCTCTTAAACCTTGTCTCTTCGCGAAGCAGTTTTCCCAAGACTTCATCAAACTCGCTCACACCCCTATGAATCAAAGAGGCGCGAATAAACTCAAATTCTGGCTTCAACTTTATGATAAACCGCATCAATCGGGAATGAGATCTTTCCTTGAGAACCTGCGCGGTGGTAGCTTCAGGAGAAAGATAAGCCATCAACGGATCATACTCTGTCCATAGATTGAGGCTCTCCTGATAATGACATCTAATGTCAAGATCCCCCTGAACAAGTTTGGCCAAGACGAATTCCAGATCGAACTGCCGCGAAGCATTCGCCTGGGAATAGGTCTTGAAAATATGAGTCCACATAGCGTGGGCTGTAGTGAATTGATGAAGACCCAAAGCTGTAGGGACATCAACGGAGGAGGCTAGCATAGACACGACCTGGGCATTAGTAGTCGCCCAGTCAGCCTTCTCCTTCTCCGGGGCTGTATCCGCCGACTTTGGGGAGGTCCCATTCAGAATGGGGAGTAGCCGCTTCCCTTCAACGAGATTGCGGAATTGAAACTTCCACAAGGCAAAGTTTTTGCCATCAAACTTAGTAGAAACAAGATCGAATCTCCCGACATCCATCCTTATCAAAGTGACAAAAGACAAAGAAGCCGCGAACGCAATAACATAACACGAAACCGAAGAAGAAAACCTTATTGTCGACGCCCAAACACAGCCGCTGCAGCTAATACGAGACGAACGAAACGAGTTGTGAGTTCAATGGCTCTGATACCATGTTAAACTCTAGCTTATACGAAAAGAGAGAACACAAGAACTTTTTTTAACGTGGTATCGCCAATGCGGCACTAGTCCATGGAGAGGATCTCCCTCTCAGGTTTTTATATATTTTGACTGCTTAACCTTTGCTGTACAAGACTCGACAGTTTATATGGGTTAGCTTCTTAACCCTAACGACACACTATAATGGTTATTTACATAAAGGCCCTCATATAATTAACAGTGAAGATCGATAAAATTGTAGTGTCTGTCTCTAATCGTAATGATCGGTTTGACAAGTATTTATGATAAATGATTTGTCTGATCCAAAACTAACCCCTCATCCTATCTGACTTCTTTTTTTCTTCGATATGTCGACCACTCAGCTTCATTCATCTTTCATCCTTTTTTTCTTCCTTTGACCGGCATGTCCTAGCGTAGTTCCTACCATGATCCATGAAATCGTACTGGAGACCGTATCGGAAAAGTCAACGGTAGGGTATTTTATGATAAAACCGTGGTTTAATCGTATTCAATCGTTCGTACTGGTAAATATCGCCTACCGATTTAGCCTAAAATATTAGTATTTTGTGATTCAACCGTCGGTACGATACGGTTTTATGGACCATGATTCCTACCCGACAGGAAATTCATTGTTTCCACCTCTAGTTACCCAATGCTCGTTAAGCTAATTAATTAAGATACTAGCTTATTACCCGGTCCGTTGGCCGGATTACTGTATGTTACTCACTTGTGGAATGGGAGAGAAAGCAAGTGAGAGTGAAGGGATTGGGATTCTACTTGATTAGGACCGACCCACTAATTCAATTCTTCCCGACCCGCCCCAACCTACAGGGTCAGAAAGAGTCAATAAGAAAATACGAACAGGGAGGATTAGTCATATATCTTGACTCTTCAGAAGTGGGTCAAACAGGATCAAGGTTGGGTGAGGGCAATTTTTAGCGCTAAGCAGAGTTCTGGGTTGAATACCTTTACTTAGGCCTAGAAATTGGTGCTGATGCAGACTGCAGTTTTTATTATACCATCATCAATCATCATTGAATTAGTCCTAGGCATCACTCCCCGTTGTCGGTCTGAATTCTAATGATGGCTTCATTCCTTGCACCAGCCATATCAGCGAGTTGCCATCTCGAGCATGATTTGCCTATGTAAAAATAATACAATTAGAGTATGAAAATGAATTCAATGAAAAGGAAAAGAAAATTCTATCACATGCCAATAAATACACACATAATAGTTGAAGCTAAGTGAAAGTCATTACTCGCACATCAATTCTCAAAAATTACAGACTAAACATTGGCTAGAATGGCACTGAAACTACCAAGAATCATGGACGAAACAACTTGTCAAATTAAATAATCCTTATACTGAAACTACCTTCTAACTTGAAATAAGACATGATCACAGTTCATAGCTCTCTTCTCACTATGAATTGGTTGCAGCTCGTCCTTATCACTGCCTCTCAAGCTCAATTCAAACAGAATAGCGACCGTTATGTAAGATAACCATATTCTTACTGATCATAATTCCTTTCTTCACTCCATTTTTGTCGGAGAAAAGAGTTATCCCCCTCTCCTGCATTTCCCTTTCCCCCTCTCTTCTCCCTCTTCTTCACAAACCGATCCCTAAACCAGCAACAACAATACAAAAATAGCCTTCGCCTCTCCCGTCTCCATCTATTGAACGTGTTGGTGGCAAGACAGGACTGCAGAAGCAAAATTTTCTAAAATCAAACTAAATTTTTTGAAGCAGACTCAACCACGAAAAAAGAGTAAAGCAATAATGCAGTAGAACCCTAAATTTAACTACAATCAAGCACATATCAGCAAGATTTTCGATTTGTCTGAGAGTTAACTACACGGAGAGAACAATTGATGCATAATTGAAATGCTCCAAGCAAGTTGAAGGCAAACCATAACTTTAGAATTTGGTCATTATAATAACATTCAAGTATTGATGCTTCTAAGAACTATCATGTCCAACCCCCACTTATACAACTACGTAGGCATAGTAATTAGTTGTATAATGAGAAATATTACAAAGAAAACTACATAAACAACCAATGTAAGTAAATATTAAAACTAACAACTGATAAAACTTAAAATCTCTCTATTGGTATAAATGTATCTATTAGTAACTACTATGCAATCGAGTATATATGATTTTTAGGCACTGAATAAGAAAAGTATAGATGGCTCACAAATGAAGACGTAGCAACTGAAGGTAGCACACAAAAACCAAAAATAGAAAAAGAGATAAGAAAAAAGGCGAGAAAAAGTCAAACAAAGAAAAAGCCCACATAGGAATACCTCGCTAGCTTTAGGGACTCTCTGCCACAACAAACAACCTTCTTAAAAATCTAACACCCTGAGACATCAAACAAACCTCCCACGACACTAATGTATGTCATTCCTATTGTCCAATAGGTTTGCCCAATTTAGACTTCTAAATAAATGGACTTTTCACCATTAAACCAAAACTCACAATCATTAACAGTAAATGCAAAGACATACATTTCTGAGGCCAATCACAGCATTTAAGCATAATTTTTAGTTGAAAAGAACAACTAAGTATTTAGCTAAATGATATAGTAGAATGGACACAATCTGCTACCTACTAATGATATAAACGTGTACCGGTACCATCGTTGTATCCTGACTTGCCATTTGCAACGGGCACTTTGAAAGACAGCTGCATTTTAGAGAATAAACACCCATAAGGGCGTTACGAAACCAAGCTTAATCCAAAATCTTCATATTCCACTTCGAAGACTCCATTTTCAAAAATAAGAGAGTTTAACATGTCAAATCACTCATTCGAAAAATCTCAAACAACTATTAATCAATGCGATATAATGGCACGTTCCAAATTATGTACTTGGAGGAATAATCCCAAATAATTATCAATTAATGCCCCAACTACCTAATGTGCAGAATAGCCCTGGAGCTGTGCTGTTGTTTGCGTTGGTCTACCTTCAAACATAACATAGTTGCATCACGAACCAAAGCAATTAAGCAAAAATCTTCATATTCAAAGTAGAATGACTCAATTCAATTTGGCCAACGCTTTATACATATTGTTTACCCCTGGACCTGTTGCACTTGCGCCTTCAGATCTTCGTGAACCCAATACAATTGCGGAGAGGAGGCTGTCAACGGAATAAAAATTGTTAATTAAGTGAATCACCATACAACTAAACAAACGCGCTCTTCTTGATTAGCTATCAAAATAGTGGGGGTCGCTACAATCCATCGGTTGCTCCCTCTGCGCCTAAGTTGTACATATTAGGTTTCAGTGAGAACTTTGAGTACATGAGGAGATATTTTGTAGTGGAGGAGATGACCCGGCGAGTAGAGTAGGAAGATTTGGAGAGGCTGCGATGGGCAAAGCAGTTAAAATCGAGATTTTACCTAAAATCGAAAACTGGGGTAAAATCAAAATCGTATAATCGAATCGTAAAATCGTAGGATTTTAAGTACCATATAGAACATAGCATATAAGAATATTAATAAGGTAAATTATTAATATCACAAAGACACATAGCATTTAAAATGATAATTCGGAAGATTTTTTTTCCATAAGATAATTCTCAAGATTAATGTTCCAAAATCACTATTTTAATTGTTATTTAATGTGTAACTCAAAATAATTCATGATGAAGGGATATAGTTCATGGGTTTGGCTCTTATTTTCATGTTATGCCTAAGTTGTTTAACTCAAAGTAATATTTCGACATCGTCTACTAAGTATGATTTAAAACTAAAAATAATTGAACTCCAATAAAATAAGTAATGTTAGTGGCTTGGTACAAATATATTCATTAATAAATTAATTAGTTAATAATGATGTTAGTTCTTACATACTTCCAATATTAGGACAGGTGTTTTACCAATAAGTTAAATGGGGTGAAGGGAAAGAGATTAACCGAACCCTAATTTGGTTATTTTTATTATTTTTGAATATTTTTCTAATAGAAAAATATCTAAGAAGATTCCATTGCCCTTTCCGCTGAAACAGTTATACTTATTTTAAATTGGCTCAAACCACCTATTTTGTTCTCTTACGATCAAAATCCCGATTTTGGTACTATTTTACGATTTTAACGATTTTAGTCCCGATTTTAAACGATTTTAAGGTCCACCGATTTTATAGTATAATCAAGATCGGAATCCCTAAGTAAAATCCTAAAATCCTACGATTTTACGATCAAAATCCCGAATTTGACTGCATTGACGATGGGTGCACGATTAGTGGGCCAAATAACAGTTTGGGCCCGTTTAAATGAAAACATATTTTTACTTTCGTGCTCAACAGACCGACCACACTGGCATCTTCTAAATTTACCCCTAAAAAATTGCTCTGTACGCATCAAATTTGAAATGGAATCCCTCTTTTCTCATTTCACATTTCACATTTATATGATGTGTAGATTGTGATGAGTGTAGATGTAGACCTGTCATTGTCCTACAAATTCATTAACACGTCAAAAAGTGGTGAAATGAGCCACCCTATTAAACACAATCTTGTATAATGATCATTGGATGCAATCATGCCAGATTATGAAGAAGTTTAAAATGTAGCGGTTATCCCGACTAAAACATTAAAAGAACCAGTCTCATATAGTTTGCACAAAGATATAATTTCTCCATAGTAATTCTGAAAAATAATATTAATTTAAGAAGTCGATATTGCTTCTACATGTTTAATATTGCAATTCGATATGCAATATTCGAACCAGTGATATTTGGGCTGCAATTTTAGGGTTATTGTATATTTATAAAATAGATAGAAATTTAAATTAAGTATTAAACTACAACTAAAATAATCAAAGTATTAAAACACCAAATAAGTACTTACGGGAGATTCAGTGGCCAACTAATCGTTAAAAAAGTCATATGATTTTCATAATTTAGGTTCGTGTATGTTTGAATTTAAATAGATACAATAAATATACTTAGTGTGATTGGTTATGATCTTTGCTTGCCTTTAAAGAGACCAAGGTTCGAATCCCGGTGCATGCCTTTTTTATGAATAAATAAATAAGAAAATAAGCAATTGTGAAGACCAAAATGTCCTTCCTATAATCACTCTCGTTGCAGAAAATTTGAAATGGAGCAACAGTTTTCATCATTCGGCTTTTATTTATTACTAGTAATCGTGCCCGGCCCGTTGGCCGGCATAGTTTTCTGTTTCTTCTTGGAGGGAAGATTGAATATGTGAAATATCAACAGAATATGAAAAACTAAATTTAAGCTAAGTTTTGTCATACATTCTTTTCAACTTCAACAACACCAGGTTTATTGTGACAGAAGTGAAGTGTGCAAATAAAATTAAAGAAGTTAAAAATTGAGAACGAATTGGATAAACCAACTTCATGTTATATATAAATTTGTACATTGAAGCTTCAATTGAGCACCTTGGAGAATGATAAGCATTAAGCAAAACACAAATTGGAAACAATTTAAAAATCCACTAATAACATTCCCATGAAAATTAACCTAGTAAATATTGACCTTATATATAAGTTTGCTTGAATTGGGCCAAAAAATTTGAGCGCAACAAATGGATGAGATTCAATTTTTTTTATTGAAATAGTAGTTTGTTTGTAGACTTCAGATCTTTATCCATATATCATTCATGTACTGGATTATGAGAGGCCTTTACAACAATGTTTGGTCTCTTTTCGTTATTAGTCTCTGTCAATATACATTTGAATTGATTTTCGTCGAATTTAGGGATGAAAATTTTGTGGTGTATGATCGTTATTGCACTTATCACTATTTGTTAAAATCTTGGTAATCTTTTTCTTGTCTTGATAAGTATAGCATTCTATATCCACGATTCATAAATTGCAGCACATATTTTCGTTTAAGTTGAGTTAAATCTATATTGCTTGTTTGGTATATAATTGTTGTTAATCTATGAAGAGGCTAATTCAGAATTTTCCATCTCGCTATAGTATCCCTCAACCAAAGTAAAAAGGGGAGAATACAATATCAGAAACTAAGGAATCACCTCAAATTGGACCGACGTGGAGTTTGGGTGTTGGAATTGCATGAAACTTGCTTCATGTATAATAGACAGACTGTTGCAGGAAGTTAAAGGAAGAGTTTAGGATTTTGCCATATACTACTAACGGAAGTGCATGCTCCAGTTTTGGGCAATCTTTTCTCTTCCAAATTCGGGTGCAGTCTTTCACAGTTATAATTCTTTCCATGGAGTGGGTAATCATTCAGTGTACATCAAATTGAATTGTACTGAATCGATATATAGACTACATCGAATAAGATTGAGTATATTTTGATTATGTTTTGACCCTACAAATTATCTTACATATGAAGAAAAATTGGACAAAAATATAAATTTGGGCCAGATTGAATCGAACACAATGAATAAAACATGTTTTTATCAGTTTTTTTTCTCAATTTTCCTTTGATCTTTGTCCAATCTTATCCGACCATAAGGACTCGAAGTAATCTTCCAATACCAACTTATTGCTGATCTCATCACTCCACATTTGTCACAAAGGGATTCATTGGAATAATTTAGTCCAATGAGTTTCCTTACAATTGTTAGTACATTTTGCTTCTTTGCTTCCCACCAAACTCATTCACTTTTATCCTTCTTTAATTACTTCATCATCCCGTCAATTTCCAAGTTCACCTACCCATATTTTGGATGCACTTCGCCCAAGGAATCCTGGAGTAGAGAGCGATGATGTGGAAGATGGAGGGGGCAGAGGGAGAGGAAGACTTACGGACTGGGAGAGGGAGAGGAAGACTTACGGGAATCAACTCCTAACACGGGACGACTCGCCAGCCAGCAGCTATTCATCAGTTCTGAAAGTTGAATTTGTGATTGGAAAAAGAAGCAGAGAGATTTTTTATTCAGCGGAAAAAAGCATATATATCGGCAGCGGGCGTTGCGGAGAGGTTACGCGGCCATCTGGGTTTGTGAAACTGAATACAGAGAGCGAGAAGGGTTGAGAATTTACAGGGGTGTCCTCCCTAAGAATACGGGCTGCGCAGGAAGAGCTGATGTGGCAAAACCGATATATTGACATTCGCTTATAGTATTTTGTAGACTAGACTAGATGAACTCCATCTTCGCTCCTCGGCCGATATCGTCCATTGACTCATGGACGGTTCAACAGTTGTGGGCCTGTGGCAACGGGTTATTCTCACTTTCTCTACTTCTCAATTTTTGTCCGACGACTGAAATTAAAGTTGAGCTGAGTTGAGTTGAGATTCACAATTGGGGTTTGTGATGGGATTTTGAGATTGGGGTGTGTATCATTTTGAAATGAGTGTATCATCAAAATTGCAGGGCAATGAATTTTTGGGTTGAATTGCGTGTTATCGGAAAACACACCGTCTGAATCAATTTCCACCCATATCAATCAAACAATCACAATGTAAAACGTGATTATCCTTGTTTAGCATCTTTATCTTTAATCTTTGCATGCTATAGGATGCATGTGCAAACTGTTCAAATGGTTTTCATGTTAGGGTGTAGATCAAGGTTGTCAACCCGCGGGTTGACCCGGACCCGGTTGAGTTAGTGGGTTAAGGGTTAATGGGTCAACCGTTTTAGCCCGGTTTGGCCCGGAAATATGGAAAAAGTCATTATATTGTACTTATCTTCATAAATTATATCAAATCTTATCTAACATATGAGTTATAACATATAATATTACACCAAAATAACATATCGTATATAGATCCAATATATAGTGAAAATTCACACACACTTATATAACATAAATATTCAAATGTTCAACTTAGCATTCCAAAAATTGAGCTAGGCGAAAAGAAAAACCGGAAAATAGGCGCATTTCGCAAACCAAAGAAAAATATGATACAATTTGACCTCCAACCCGGTACCTTGTAGCGGTCGGCCCGGCGGGTGCGTGCGGCCCATTTTTTTCACCGGGTCAGGGTCAAAGTGGGTCGACCCGCGGGTTGACAACCTTGGTGTAGATACAATGGTGTAATTAATTAATTAATTAATTAAGATGTGGCTAGTGTTACAGTAATCACTATAGTAGTTGCAGAAGCAATAGTCATGCGGCAACTTGGATGCATAAATATCATTACCGTGACCAATTTATACCAGAAATATGTTGTCTTAATTCTAATATATATTCTAATACAAGTTGTGAAAATAATGAATACACATAAAGTTTGGTTTTTGAATTCGAATCTACATTACCACATGTATGTATAATATGTGTTCGACAAGTTTGCTAGACACAAAAGCTCCACTTGCATAGAGATTTTATTTTACAGATTTATCATATACTTGGATTCCCCATTCCACAAACTCATGCTCAACGAGTTAATTATGTACCATTAATGAAATGAGTCTTTTATCTCGATCGTTGAATGATCATCGAAGGACAGTAAGCTGAGCACCTTAATTGAGTTGGTAGAATCTTAGTCGTTGGGGATAGAAAGATATTGTTGCCATAATTTATAAACTATTCTCGAATGATCGTATTTTTTAGGATGGATATATAATTTTGATAATGGTTGGTGAACAATGTTCATTCTTCATTCTAATTGGAACCCTCACCAGTAAATACTTCATTTCCGGATGTTTTTTTTGTTCGTGTGGAGGTGGTACTTTCAGATGAAATCAAGTATAACATAGTAATGTGTACAGTAATTTGAACTAATATTAAATAGTAAACTCAAATCTTTATAAAAGAATACTTAACAATTCATCCCAAATTTCCTATACATACAAAATGTTTCAATTACAATTAATTTTTCGAAAGATTTTAAAATGATCATCATAAATCGACACATAATGAGTTACAATTTTAGAACTGAATCATTATAAGTTAGTACTCGTGATCCTGATGAGTATTGACTTTGTAAAATGTTAACGATCTCTTGTTAATTCTCCGGTTTTAACCAAAATCATTAAGATACTAAACGATTTAACCAAAATCATACAGGTATCAAACAAGTAAACAAAGCCAGCCCATTCTCTCGATCAGATCCATATCATCATGTCTCAAACTTATCATGGTTCAAAAGTTCAAACACATATCTCCAAACACACTTTAATTTGAATCGAGAGATTATTAGGATTTAGGAGGTGGGTTGGTTGGCAATCCAACCATCTTGGTCCACAAACACCTCCTTGGAGAACTGCCTCAAGAGGGAAGGATCACGCGGGTCCAAGTTCTTCTCCCATGGAACTCGCTTCGATTTGTCTGCTCCTGGCCCTCTACAGTCCGCCTCGACGTAGACGAAATTTTGCCTATATCGAAAGACAATTATATATATATGCTTTGTTGAAATTTACATTACATGCATGATAAAAAAGGGTATGGAATTGTAGAAGTAGTGCATTATTATGTGTCACTCACTCTTGGCCGGCGTAATGCCAAGCGTCCCATCCGCGAGGGTCGATGGCGGCGGACAGATAGGTGGACTGAAAGATGACCCTCGAGTACTTCCGGTAAGCTCGCCCAAGGAGAGTGTGGACGCCGGGGGCGCCGTCTTCCACCCGGCCGCCGGAGAACACGAACCCGCTCGGGTCGTTGGCGTTCTCCCTGCCTTGCGCCGTGATGAACCCTCCTCCCGTCACTTTTATCTCTGCGTTCTGCGTGCAATTGCATGTAGGGATGACAATTTCGACATGATTCGTTTTATTCGATTTTCTTATAGGTGGGGCGGGTATGGATATATAGTCTACTCTATTTGACCGGCTTTATTTTTTATCAATTCTTACCCAAATCACATGTAATTTTACTCAAATTACTTATAATTTGACTTGTATTATCTTATATTTTAGCTAGAATAAAATTATGAATAGGAAAAACATCAATTTTCCCAATAATTTAACTACAAATAATTTGTTAATAAATTTATAATGAAAAAATTTATATTTATAATGATTTGTGTTTAAATTACATACTCATATAGGTTAACATACCCTGACCCACGTCGTGTAATAAATTACCTGATCTAAAACTAATCTACCACGAAAGCAGTATAGATATTGAGATATCCACCTGACTTGCTCTTCCCATGAGTACTATATGCGTCACCACGTGACACATTTAACGAGTCGGTCCAGTCACGAGTTTACGATAGATATACCAATAGAAACATGCACCAACGAAGTTGACAACATGATAAAATAACTAAATAAGAGGACATGATTGATGAAATTATTACTCCTATAACGATTAGGAGGCAGTGCCATTTCAAGAAAATCGTATTTTTAATAGAGAGATTATATGACAATGATATTTATTTCTTCTCAATTTTTATTGAAGCAAATGCATTATTTACACGGGAATTTTCGTTCTATTTTATTTTATAAGTAATTGTAGATGTTAGTGATAGTTGTTGTTAATGAAAGAATTTCAGAAAAATTAATTTAATGATAATCATGATTGATTAGCTGGATGATGTAACAGCAGTATATGATTAATAAAGCTTCTTAGCCGGTTTTCCAAAAAAAAACACATTTTTTCCTTGTTAAATACTTGTAAATGAGATATATTTTATTATAATTATAGTAATTGAGACAGCTATATTTACATTAAAAAAACCCCTTCATGTTTACCAAAATAGTATATAGTTATTATTTGTTTTGCACCATGTCTCTTTTTTTCCGTTGAATTTGGGCCCACTTATTGAGGATATAAAATGTCTTTTCATGTATATATTAAAAAAAAAGACGACATGATTTGATAGATGTGCTTTTATTATTTTAAATTAACACATTACATTACACGCAAGGTTTTTACTACTGTACATTTTAATTATTGATGATTGATTATCAGCAGATGTAGTTCAGATTTATTAAGTAAAGTGAAATTATATATGATTATTGGTGGGGAGGATTTCATATGGACGACTTGGAATTAATATAAAACTTGAACAGATATAATTGGAGTTCATTTTGACGTAGATTAGATTAGATTTCCTTGCTCCAGTTCGTATCCTTTTTTAATTTGATGGAAATTCTTGAGAATACAAAAGGAATTGAATTTATGTTGAAATCAAATCAAATTATATGCAAATTTAACTTAAATCTGACGATGAAACAGATTTTGATAACTCATTGATCACCGTATAAAGTGCGAGTGGAGGTTATTCCTGCATATTAGTTAAGAGTTAACGAAAAGTGCCTAACCGAGCTTTTTCTTACGATTGACATTCTCGGCTACTCCCTCAACTGTTTTACCGAAGCAACAATATACTGAATTTTTTTGTCTTTCAACGAAAATGAATCCAATGAAACAAGGAAATTCATACAAATTTGTCTTCCCTTGGTGAAATTCCTTATTGTTCTCCCCTAAGTTGATCTAGCTGAGCCACTACTTTGGATGCTAGATAGAAAATGAGAGGGAATATCGTGACATTTCGCAGTAGAATTGAGTGACAAAAGAAGAGTTTTCAATTTTTATATGAGTTATTAAGGACACACTTAATCACTATGCATGTATATATTGTACTTCCCACTAGTAACAAAATCGAATGATATTTTTCCCCAGAGAAACCAAAATGGAAGTATATGCAAACTTATTTGTTAAAAGACAAAGCGTGTAGATATTTTTGTCAAAATTATATAATAAAAGGATTACGATTTCTCCAGAACTTTCGCATACTAAATGCACATTTCCAGCAAAAGGAAATTACATTAAGTACCAACGTATTCTAATCCAAATCAAAAGACAATTCAAAGTTTTCTGACGCAACTTAACGAGCGTCCACGATACCTGTTATTTAATGAATTTGAGACACCCTAAAACGTACATGGCTAGCTATTAATTCATGAAAGGTTAGACAAAAATGTAAAGTACAAGTGCAACTGTGCAAGACGTGTACCTCGTAGAAAGATTGGCCTCTCCCGAAAATGAAATCGACGGCTCCTTCGACGTAGCAATTGGAGAAGTAATGGCGGCCGGCGGCGTCCCATAATGTGTCTTGGACGCCGACGAACCCGCAGTCGTAGAAGGCCGACTTGTCGCCGTAGACTCTAGCGGCTAGGGCCGGCACTACCCCGGCCCGATATAGGGCAATGAGCTTCCGGTTAATTGGGCCTGATACTGGGCTGTAGATTTTGGGTATACTCATTCCGAGGTTATAAGAATTCTGCAAGCCCATGGATAGGTGTTGTGGTCAAAATTTAGTATTTATTAACATTTACACCAGCTATTTTTCCATGACTTTTATTATTTTATTTTCTTAAGTTTAAGACTCATTAAAAATCAATGAATTTATAAATAAGCGTTGCTAGCTAGGATTCATACACACAATCTATTTGATAAAAAGACACACTCTATAAGGTTTAGATTCAATATAGTGTAAAGTTTCTAACGGCCAAAAAAAATTACATTTGATGATATTGATTACAAAACTAATAAGATAAAATTTATCGGTTATATTAATTATTATACCAAGATTGAGAATATCATGTCATTAAACGTGCTTATCGGCTTATAACCTGGAAGGTGATGCCCTTGCCAATAACGTTTGGTGGGTAAGAAGAGAAAGTTGCACTTTTATCTGTTTGACTGTGATCATTGTATGTAATGATCGTCGATTTTCTGCCTTCACCTTCTAGAAATATACATGGTTTGTCATGTGGAATTGTCACTTGTTCCCTGCATATATGAAGACCAAACCTTTATGCAAAATACGGTAAATACCTTAGCATGACATAAATCATATGGATGTTGATCCTAAAGCACCAATATGAACTATAGTTCATAGTTTTCATCTCCATGGGGATGAAAATTTTGCATAAAGGTGTTAGCCCCATCTCCCAATTATAACGGTTCAACCCAGCCCCACTCATTCAAATTCCTAGCTCCACCACTATTTCTATATATGAACCAAAAAAGTAGAGGAGAAAGAGTACGGATAATTACACGTAGGTACCCGACTGAAGATGGATTTTGGTCCATCGATTGTTGTTAGAAGGGATGGAATTAATGGCGTCTTGCACGGTCTTGAAGCCTTCCATTCCCACAAATCTATAATTCTCACCACCCCACGACGGCGGCTTGTCGCCGCAGTCAAGCGCTACGACGGCATCTTTCACAACCGAAGTTGATGAAAGTACGAAAACGGTCGCTAAAAGTATCATAATGGTGGCCATATGTCAGGGAAAAGAATGCAGTGGTACTGGGCTAGATAGATTATCTAAAGAGTTGCAATTTCCAATTGTCTAGAGATTTTCTCCACTAACCTTTCCATTAATTAGGGACTACAGGCTAGATAGAAACTGGTTAGTTAGACATGCATGAATTTCACTTTAACTAGCTAACCATGATTAATTGGGATGGAGTTTAACGTCATGATGTGTTTTGCAATTGAACATGTCGATGGACAATCCCATTTTGGCTATATAGAAAGCATGTGGATGATTTAGCAAAATAGGAAAGGGATGTGGATGTGTTCGTGGGATTGTTAGTAGTATACATGTACCTCTACCAACAATTCGAGTTATTGGGACCAGTTAGTTTATTACATGGTATCAGAGTCTGACTTGTTTTTGAGATCACGTGTTCAAGTCCTTACGACCCAGTATTAGTTGTTGTCTTAAAGCGCACAGTATGGAGAGCCAGTGCAAATTTCAAACTGCTGAGTTGGTTTTCGTGAGATGGGACATGTAAGGAAATAGTTAAGTACGTACCTATGTACCTCTTTTTCAATAACTCGAGCTATTAGACCAGTTGGTTTATGACGATGAAGAGAAAGAGGAAAGAGTTAATTACTTGAGGTTTTTTTTACAAGGGAGTAATCTTTACTGCACTTTTAATTGATTGGTTATAAAGAAGAATAGTACGAACCAACAATTTGGATCCATCAAAAGGATAGAACACCAGCTCAATCGGTTGAAACAAACCGTGCTTAAGGAATCATCCAATGAAACACGAAACTCAGAGTGAAAACAACCACCCAAAAGATTCAAACACTTGAACCAAAAAAAGAACATCAAGAATCCTTATTCCTTCTAGCTGTCATCGATCAGAGTGGAATAAGACAACGGTCAGCTTGTCCGATCAAATCGAACTACATGACTGTTGAGCACATCAAAGCCATGTGCCGCCTCCTAGAGATGCCTCGAAGACATCCATCACACGGAATCTCAGATTCGAGACTACTTGGCGGTGGAGACTGGAGACGGAAATAAATCATATTGCTCCAAACTAATAAGGCATAGGCAGTCGAGGAAGAGAGATCGTGTTCAAAGGGGAGCAACGATCCTGATGGAGCCACAAATCTCCACAAAGTACCGATTTCCACCTCAACAGCTAGAGAAGACCCAACCCTTCATGATCCGACAATCATCCAAGCAACATCGACATCCTTTGGGGGGCTGGAGTGGGAAAGCAGAGAATGGCTTCACCAAAGAGATGAGACCACCAAACTAGGAAAGCAAACCATCACCCTCATGATATGATCTCAATAAGCTCAATCTTTGGCTCACAAATGCTCGATCAAGAAGACAACCCAGAATACATTAAGCATTCTGATTTTATTCCAAGTAGTGGAACAGTGTCAGGGTACCTACTTTGGGAACCTGGTTTTCACGATTGGATCCATGAAAATGGGAGATTAAGAGCTTTTGTTGCAAATAAAGTCTCCCTCTACAAGGTTATATGGTTCGTTGTTCCAGAAGAGCTCGTTAAGAAGGGTTTTCAAGACCTCAAAGTTTGACTAAGTGTAGAATCAAGTTCGTGATGGCTACTTTGGGGCGTAATTCGAGGATTTTGGCTGGGAATCGGGTCTCAAGGAGTATACCACATGAAAGTGTACAGCTTCTAGTACAAAAGCAAGGAATTGGATGAAGGGTCACTTGCCTAGAAGTCTTCGATCGAGAGGTTCCAAGAAGGTGTCGAAGACTGGTTTTTACTTGCGCAGGAAAGCAGATTCTTGAGTATGAAGCCACCAGATTTTGTGTCCTTTTACAGTTCAGATTTCCGTTTCATTGTCCAAGTTAGCATTAGCTTTGAGTCCTTGTTTGTTTAGAAGTAGAATTAGGTTTGTTAAAGTCTATTTAAAGGGCCTTGAAGCCTCGTGTATGTATGTATGTTGAATGAATGAAATTGAGACTTGTCTCCCCATAAGCTTGTGTGTTGGTTGAGTTCCAGCAACGAGTTGCTTCGTATCGATTGAAACCGCATCAATTGTGGCCAAGCTTCGTTTCAAACCAATCGAGTCTTCTTCCACGTGAAAGATTGCACCTTTGGTCCGTTTTTGTTTTAAGTTTGTTCGAGTTTTCAATCCATTCTTTGGTTTGGAAATTGTGCTGCGTATTCTGTCAAACGAGCAGCTCTTGTGCTCGTATTACCTCATCCGAATGAGGCTCCCAAACTCCTACCTCTGGACCCCATTTGAGCAAGCCCAGAACAGTGAACCATAGATATGAGCGAAGAGCAAAAGCTTGACTGGAGATGGCAATGAAAGGCCACAACGACTAGTTTAGAAAGCGACAACTGAAAATACAATCGAAAAATTAGCCAAAAGGCAAAAAAAAACCAAAATCATGAAAAAAACTAATGGACAAACAAAAGAAGTAGGACTTGGGCCACCGCCGGTCACCAACATGAGAAGCTACCGGACTCGCAAATCATATTATTCACCATTGGTAAATTGAATGATCCAGTATATAGGTGAGTTACAAGAGAAATTCCAGCAAAAATGGAACCTGCTGTTACACTATCATGCTCATTTTTTCATTTAATTTCAAAGGAAGTATTTGGACCTTCATAATCCAAGATTAAAACCCATATGCTAGAGGCTCAACTAAGTTTTTAGTAAGCTCCTTAAGCATGTTGTAATGTTGTTAAACCTTGTGGTCTTAAAAAAGTTTCCCGCTCTCTTATCGAAGGAAAAATTATGACATTTTTTATCAAAAGAAAATTATGACATTAATTAAAAAGAATAAAATTTAGGTTTTTTTACCTAAAATATTATATTTTGAAAAATAATTTGTCAACATTGTGTTCAGAAAGTATTTATAAATCAATGGTTCTTTTACACTAAACGAGATGCACGCGTCTTAATTGGGTTTCCTGACGAAAAAAATTCAAATTTGAAGCTACGAAAAGTTGGATCAAGATGGAACAAGCACAATGGAGTAGCAGAGTAGTGTGAAGCAGTGGCGGATTCAGAAAATTTTCATAGGGGTGTCCTCTTCAAAAATTAAATTAAATTAAATAATAAATGAAATAATTCATATATTAAAAATATCATACTTGTATAAATTTTTTATTAAAATTCATGATGTGTTTTCATATTTTGAAAAAAATAATATAAAATAAATTCGTGTCTGCACTGTTCAAAAAAAATCTACATATCCTACTAGACAATATTTCACGAACTTATCACATATTCGATTTCTAACATTGTTCTTAATGTAGCTCAAAGTAGAAAAGACTCTTTCAACACTTGTCGTGTAACCATAAAATCAATTCAAAATTAAGGGTAGTGTGTACGTAGTTTAATTATTAGGTATTGAAAATAGTTGGGGATAAAGAAATAGTGTTTTACTAGTTGCATGATGTTTAAAATAGAATAACAAATGAGTAGCAACATAATTAGAATATGTTTGATAATAGTAGTGTCCTAGGTTGGAATAACACGGACTACCACTTATATTTTGTTAATCATAAGCAAACTATTATCGAGGGTAGGATAATCATTTTTTCAAATGTTAAGGTGTCCCAAAATACCAATTATATTTTGTATACCCATACGAAACTACTACCGGAGGTTGGATAATTGTTTTCCCAATTTTTAGGGGTGTCCCGGGACACCCCTAGAAGCCTATGTATCTGCCCCTGGTGTGAAGTAATTGGGAGAGATCTAATTTGGAGAAGCACAATTGAGAAGCACCCCCAGGTTATGGCCGACAATGTGAAGTAATTTTGAGAGACCTAATTTGATGCGCGTGTTGTCTGCGAAATAGAGAAGCAAAATAGTTGTCTTCCAAAAAAACGGGATACATTTCATTTGGGATGGTTAAAGGAGACATAATGTCATCACCATTGTTATAAACGCGCTGCTACGGATCGGGAAATTGCCGGAATCGATAAAGCAAGAATACGAGAGCGAGAATCGAAAGGACACAGACACACGATTTACGTGGTTCACTAACACGATGTGTGTTAGCTAGTCCACGGGCAAGAGAGAGCCAGTTTCACTATATCTGAGGAGATTACAGATTACAGAGGAGTATGAGAAGTATTTATAGTACTTCTCCATGTGGGTCTAAACCTAATCCAATCTAGCAAAGGAAACGGTTACAGACCAGGCCCAGAACCCGAACCCAAATAACATTGAGCTCATACACCGTGGGCCCCCGATTACCAGTCGTAGCGGCTGATAATCCGATTCAAGTCATATCAACAAATCTCCACCTTGACTTGAATCCTCTTCCTCTGAAATCTCTGATGTACTCTGCTCCTTCTCTCTCTCCCGCCATCAATGCCCCGTAGGGCGGAGTCACCCACTCAAGACATTCAGCAAGTCCAAGCAGTGTTGGAACTTGCCATGTGGAACCGGCTTCGTGAACATATCAGCAGGATTATCCGCGGTGCCAACCTTCTTCACCTTAATCCTCTTCTCTGTCCTCAAGAAATGATACCTCACATCGATGTGCTTAGTCCTCTCATGGTGGACTTGATCCTTGGCCAAGCATATTGCACTCAAACTGTCGCAATACACCACTGCCTGATCATGATGTAGACCCAGATCACCAACCAGTCCCTTCAACCATATTCCCTCCTTAGCAGCTTCTGTCAACGCCATATACTCTGCCTCAGTAGTAGACAATGTCACTGCCGACTGCAAAGTTGCCTTCCAGCTCACTACAGAACTCCCAAGAGTGAATACATAACCGGTCATCGATCTCCTCGTGTCAACATCTCCAGCATAGTCCGAGTCAGAATACCCAGACACCAAGCACTCTGCATCACTTCCGAAGCTAATCCCCACATCAGGTGTACCCTTAAG